AACCTTACCGACTGCCACCTATAGAAACTGTTTAGAAGCAGGCGAGACGAAGCAGCTCACATTTTCAAATATCCCTCAGAGCTAAGGGACTTAGAAAGTAAACGCCTTAGGGATTTGTATTAATCTCACAGTGCTTTGTTGACTTGGCAGGCAATAATTATTTTATGGCTTCAGAAGGGACTACAATTAGCACTCTAAAAGCGATGCACATCTTGAGCATCAGCCATAACATAACTTAAGCTAGATTATTGGTTTAAATTTGTTGAGAAATATTTATACCCCGATTAGTTTACACATAATTAGAGGGTGCGGCTGAGTATATATATACAAAGGGTAAACCGTTTCGAAGTATCCTAATTTTTTCAAGAAAAAACACAGAACATTTTGAAGTATTAATTTTTTGAAAATTATCTCTTTCAAATGTTGGCCGCAGGTTCGATGACTCATTCGAGCATTTTAACTGGTAACTGGTGAATGATACGTTCTATGTTTTGTTCCAAGGTCTGAATCAAAGCTAGATCGTACGCATATATTTTAGACATTTCCATATTCCCAGAGGAAACTCTAACGGTGTGCCATCACACGATTTTGGTGGCCAAACAGCGGCTCAAAACGTTGAATTATTTGCTCAACAAAGTGTTCTCTCAATAAATCCGTTAATTGATGCGATGTGTGGGAAGTGTGGGAAGTGGCGCCAGAAATGGGCCTCATCGCTGAAAAAATGGCTTCAGTTCTGGTCGTGATAATTACCAAAATTAATTTAAATAAAAACTAGAAATATACATATATACTATTTCCATGTAGTATACCTTGTTAAAATGGGTGTGTACTTAAAGAAATTTAGGTTTTTGCAAAAACATGGCTCCTTTGCCTTTTCCATTTCTCTTTCATCTCTTTGCTTGACAAAGGTTAATTGTTTTCATGACCTAGTCTTGCTTTCGGATTTTTATTAAAAGAAGCCTTTTGGTCTTACAGAAAATATTACGAAAAGACGAAATGAGCCAAATTCAACATTTTCGCAGTTTTTATGCTATTTCATTTTCAGTGCTAAACAAGTGTAGTATTCTTTCCTCTATGCCATTTAGTTCAAACGAACTTTTCTTTAGGTTCATAGCTGCTTGAAGGTATAAATTACATATAGCAGCTGCAACGTAAAGGTGTAAGAATTGATCTCTCAAGTAAAGAAAGACAAATACTAATTCATCATTATAATTTGCTAAAATGAGTTGATGATTGTGATTTTGATTAGTGGGAAAAGTAGTTTCGATCATAATAACCTGATAATGTGTCTTGTTTTCAGACTTTAGTGCTCACAAATCAACTTTTAACTTAAAAGGATTATCTAAGCAAAACTAAAGATAATCTAGACAGCAATTGTCTACTAGAATATACTGCTCGTTGAGAAGTTTCCCTTGCAGTAGTGGCATTATAAAATGCTGAGGCTTAGTCATTGCATCCTAACAGCCTTGCATATAGTTGCTGCCACTATTGATATTTTATGCTCAACTTGGCCTAAAGAATGAGAAAGAGACTTTCCATCATAAACTTGTAATTCCTATAATTATACAAGCCAACATAGGCAGTTGGCGTAAAGCTTTAAGGTTTACAGAAGCCAACTCACCTCACAGTTACTTTCAAACGATTTTTTTTTATCGAATTTGCATTAAGTCAGCGTGCGATTCAATAAATATTGTCACAATGACCAGCTACAAAACTGTAAATAATCTGCAGATGATGACTGTAACAAATATGAAAAATGCAATACCACTCAACCCAACCACTTTTCACTTTGGTAAATACACATAGCTATCCATAGAGGTATGTATACGCCACATGCATTTATCTTCGTAATAACGGAATACAGCGGTAAAATACTCAATACCATTGTAAAACAATGGATTAATTAATATTTAATGAATACAGCTGTAACAACCACAGTGCAACAATAAAGCAATGCGGCGAACGTAGCCGCATACAAACACTTAGCAGCGCTCACAGATGCACATGCACATACACTTATGTTTACATGCATATATCAGACGTAAATAAACATTGTGCACCATAAACCATAATAAAAACGGAATAAAATTGTGTGACAAAATGCAACCGAATCGAATGGATTCGGATGGAGCGCAATGGTATGTGTGACCGAGCGAAACGCAGCGAATCGAACAATGGCGAAAATATGAAATGAATTATACGAGATCAGCAGCATTTGCGGCTGGCCATCAGGTGTGTAAGGACAGGACAAATGCGCGCTGACAACATGAATAACAAATGCGAGGTCAATTAAAAAAATTATATTAATGCATTCCGCCAGCGCGCCAGCTATGCTAATGGAGCGGTGTGAAAGTCGGCGACGAAGTAGGCTTAAAAATAGCTGGCGACAACTGTCGATCGCACACACATACACATACATACATACGTAGATACTAGTATACGTACATACTTTTTGTATGTGTGCACAGATGTGCCCGAAATTTGTAAATTTAATTTTTATTATGATAAAGTGAGTGAGTGATTTTTCGCCTGGAATCATTTGTACTTAACAACCTACAAATGAGTAATTAATTGTAATGGAAACGCTTCATTAACAAAAGAAAATATTATCCTTACAAATTGATGTGGCAATACTTGATTTTCAAGATTAATAAGCAGCAAGGATGCGCTCGCTGTCATGAGCACGATTTGGCCACGAACTAAAAGGTTGAGGAGTCCACACATATTTCTTTGTAAAAACGTATAAAAATTCAAAAAAGCAAGCTTTATTTGAAACGAAGCGAAATTGTCAAGGCTTGTATAAAAATGCTTTAACTTCCTTTAGTAAACTGTCTAATTGAGAAAGTTAAATCCGTTTAAGAGAGTAGACACTCATAGGGCCCTGAAAAAGGCCAAGTTTTGATTATATATATTAGGCGTAAGAGAAAGAATGCTCTCCTTCAGACTTTCTTAAACGCATATTGTGGGTATGAAGAAATTTAGAATGACAATTTTACACAAAATGGCCGCTGCTAGGCCAACCTTAGATACCACCATTTTCAAGACAATCCTTTAAGTCGGTAGCAAAAATCGGATTCATAATGGCACACTTTACTCTTGAAATACATGCTTGCATGCTTAGCTTTACATACATTCTTCGCAAAGTGGTGGACTTGTGAAAAAAATGTCCAACTTTTGACCGAAAAAATTAATTTGAAATATGGTCACAATCGTGGCTGGGTCGTCGTTCGGCCTTTTCATTTTTTGTCACCACCTGGTCTTTCCAACGGAATAGAGGTATTCCTCTTCCTCTGCTTACCGCGAAGTAGCACCTGTTGGCAAGAGTTATTCTGCGTTAGATTTCGAAGCTGCCATTGTTATTAGAGTTAATGATGATCCAAGATAGATGAAATTATCTACGACTTCGAAGTTATGACTGTCAACAGTGACGAGGGCGCAAAGTCACAAATGATCAGACCCTCTGCTTTGCTGTAGGTACCATCTCGATTCACCTCTGCAGCTTGAATTATTTTCTCCAGTCAGTTATAGCGGGATAAAGGCAGCTCCTTTTTGTGCTGTCTTGAGCAGCCGTAAAATCGACTTAGAGGGGGTGTATATCGATCCTCTTTTCAGCTGTGAATTTCCCAGGCCTAAAGCCGCACTTATAAGGTCCACAAAGAAGCTGATGCCATATCCTTATCAGTTCTTCACCACCGTATATGAATAGCTCGACCAGAAATCCATCGGCCCCGCCACTTTGTTGTTCTCCTGGCATTATATTTTCACTGCCATTCAGCAGGCTGGAGAAGTGTTCCCTCCATAATTTTAGTATGCTCTGGGCATCAGTCACTAGATCACATCTGTGAGTTGTACAAGAATATGCAGCGGCCTTGAAACCTTTTAGTCGCTGCATCTTTTTGTAGAGTTTTCGAGCATTACCCCTGTCGGCCAGCGTGTCAAGCTCTTCATAATCAAGCATTTCGGCCTTTCACTCTTTCAGCGCACAACTGTGGGGAGATACGGTTCGCTTTCTAACTCTAACTCGCCTTCAAACATATGTTTTTAGCTGCCAAGAGCATACCAGAAGTCGTGAACTGCTTGATTACTCCCAAAAGAATCGCCGCCAATTTATACTTTAAGAACTATTTTAAAATGTTAAGCAATAATTGTATACATTCAATTAAATTCTTTATTATTGTTCTGTGAATTTCAATTATGTTTTAAACGCATAAAATTTATAAAAATACACCGAAAAAATTATAAAAGAAAATATAATTTTATTTTTTCGTTATTAATATTCCTTTGGAAAATCACAATTCCCGCCCTTATCGCGTATATCAATAAAAAAAAAAATACTATTCAAAATTGCATACTTTTGTTGAATTTATAATCATCATCTGCAATAGTTTTTGCTTAGCACTGCACAAGTTTTTTTCATTTCCACTTTGTATTATTGTTCATAAAGAATATTCAGCATTAATTACCATATTTCTCATAACATTCGAAAAAAAATTCAAATTTCATACTGATTTCGAACATTAGCCATGAAATGGAATTTACGCACGAAAGCACAAAATCCACAACGCAATTATAATTATTAATTGTATTATTATTATTTGTTGGAAAGTAAATATTTYTCAAAAGCACAACAACAATTAGCGCGCAAAACGCACTGCAATCGCCATCACAACCACTACATACATATTACTGTGTAATATATGCTTACATACATATAGACACATACAAACATAACTGTATGTAGATACGCTATATTCACCAGCAAAGCCACAGCCATCGCTTTCATCAAGAACAACCAAAAAGCAATAAAGCAACAGCAACACCATTTATCCACCAAATAAATGCGCAAATCAAATATATATTCTCAATATGCTTTGTTTAATTTTCAAAAACAGTAGACAAAAATCAAAAACAAAAATCTTAAAAAAAAAAACAAATATCATCAACGTGCAAATATATTTTTAAACAAAATGTTTATTGTTGTTGTTTGTAACCTTTTACAGGTTTAAAGAGCAGGAGGCCTCTATCCTGATTGACCGATCGTACGTATACAAAATGAAAGCATACAATTACTTGAAATAAATATTAAATAATGAAAATAAATAACAAAAACAAAAATAACAATATTGTAGTTGATTAGCAAATACGCTTTGTATGGCCACTACTATTTATTTAAACGCCAGTGTGCATACCACACATATTTTCTAAAAGCAAATATGAATGCAATTGCTTGAAACATATTTTTGAAGAACTTTTATTTTTTTAATATTTGGCAACTCTAGCGCTGTAATAAAAATCCATAGATGCTTTCCTTGTATTGCTTAGCAAATTTTTTTTTTATTAGTATTATTATTTTTTTTTTTTTTGGTTTTGAGCACATTGAGCTTTACAGCTGTACAAAGTAAATAAACGTGTAATACGAATATTTAGCTACATTATTTGTGTCGAAAAAATTGTAAATTGAAGCTTGAACCGCATTTGAGCAAACTATTTTTTCCGTATTTTTTCGCTCTGTATGTTGCTGCTTTTAGATTTAAATGTACATATGCGTATGAATTTGTTGGTTTTTGGTGTATACATTAGGTGTACATTCGAAGAAACCCACATGCAAACAAACTTGAACACAAATTTACATATAATACACCYTTTACAACAACAACACACATTTTATAGTTTCACCAGTTTAATTTTTTTTTTTTCTTTTTTGAAGTTATACTTCTTATTTAATTAAAACGCGCTCTTAAAAATTCATCCCTAACTTCAACTGTAAACCTATATAAGCACTGAGTTAAGACTCTATGAATTGCTTGGTGGGTTGAAAAGAGAAGACACAGGAGCATGATAGCACAGGTGGCCGCTCTTAGGCTATCAGTAGGCACATTGTGCTCCCAAGTGACAAGTAATTAAGCTTTATTTAGCAAACTCAATGAATTTCAACCCTAGTGGGTTATTTGAGAGCCGCAGAAGATATCCCGTTTCAACTTACTGAAGGCGGAATATTCGCAAATATAAAAACTGTTGTAGCGTCTCTTCACCCTCCGCGCATAATCTACATTCTGCCGATTCTACTCTACTAACTTTCTGAAGTTGAGACCTTAGAGCTAGATGTCTTCTAATGATTCCTACAATGTTACTTATCACCCTCTTGTCTAAAAGTAGAAGATTTTGATCTGTTCATCTTCAGCATTAGCCGAAAGTACTTTTTTGGTATACTCGTTATGGCTAATGTTTCAAGATCTGTGGCGTTCGTCTAGAATTCATTGCTTCGAGCAACCCATGAGGGGGTTTAATTGTCAAAAATAGCTTAGAGAAATTACATTTCTGACAGCCAACTCGTCAGTCGTTTTTCTTTATTACCTGATAATGTTGAGAGCTATAAAAAATGTCCCGTTTCAATCTGCTGAAGACTGAGTATGCTCTGCAATCTGCCGATACTACTTTACCAAATTTCTAAAGGCTTGATCTTAAAGGTAGAACCCTGTAATAACCGCTACAATTTTACTTAGCTCACTCTTTTGCCTAAAAGTAGAAGCCTTTTGATCTGTCTCACTTCTGCATTACCCAAAAGTACTTTTGTGGTATAATCGTTGTTGATAGTGTTCCAAAACTTGAACCGTTCGTCTAGAGTTAAGTGCTTCAAGCAACACTTGAAGAAACCAAATGGTCTAAAGCAGTTCAAAAAAATTTCAATTCTGACAGCCAACTCGTCTGTCGTTACTCTCTATTCCTATAAGATGATTTTTTAATTTTTTCACACTAAAAATACAGCCTGAATTTCCACCAAGAGCAGAAACCCACTTGGCACCTTCGGTTATGCCCACAATTTTGTTCTAAAAGACTAAATTGAATTTCACGATTTCCAAAGAAAAGCAGCTTAAACCTAATACTCATTAAAGTGGTATGGTGTTTTTCTAATCTGGTAGTTAGCAATACTAATGAATATAATATATGAATGAGGTAATATATCTGGTAATATTTCCGCTAGTTTACTAGTCCCTTCCTAGTGTTTTTGGACTGCCCCAACTTTCAAACTGCAAAAGCAAAGATCGTGCTCAGTGTCTCTTCTTTAATGTCCCTGTAATTTTTCACATTTTTATTAATAAAAATTTAATTTTAAATGTCGCATTTCCTTGCCAAGAAAAAAACATTGTTTATATATTTCGACTAATTCATGCCATTCCTATTTTAACCTTAATTCACTTAATAGGTATTTTCGTTTGCCTTTGTTTTTCTATTTCGTTGTTTACCTTGCAAGCACATCAACAACATTAACATTGCTTTAGTATTTTGAAAATGCGTCTAAATTTCATACTTTGCCTTCAAAATATTTTTAAATTTTATATTTCTGCAAAGACGAAAATACATATTTTATTTAAAACTCTTGTTGTTATTTATTTTGCGCGGCTTGCCTGGGACACACCTCTAAAGACTTTTAAATTTATATATGTCCACACACAGGTGTTATTTTATTACATAATATTTAAATTTGATATACAATTTTTTAATGATATATTTTTATTTGTTGCTTTGCTTAAGTATAAGAATTTGCCATTCTCGTCACATATAGCTACATGTGTTCACATATGTATGTATGTACATACATATCCTCTTTCTTTGCTTCCCCCGGCGGGTACTGCGTCGAATACTTTCAGAGCTGGAGTGTTTTCGTCCATCCGGACAACATGACCTAGCCAGCGTAGCCGCTGTCTTTTAATTCGCTGAACTATGTCAATGTCGTCGTATATCTCGAACAGCTCATCGTTTCATCGAATGCGATATTCGCCGTGGCCAACGCGCAAAGGACCATAAATCTTTCGAGTTTGGTCGAGAGAGGACATCGCTTCTCATTTGAGTACTCAGTCCGAGAGCCAAGGCGTGAGTGCGACGACCGTTTGTTTGATGACAGGAGATATTTCGTCTTGCCCTCGTTCACTGCCAGACTCATTTGTTTTGCTTTCTGGTACAGTCTGGATAAAGCAGAACTAACAGCGCGGGTTTTGAGGCCGATGATATCAATATCATCCTTATATGCGATGTTGAGGAGGCTTATTCCAACATAGTTGGCGCAGATTATGGGGTCTCCTTTTTTATGGATTGAGCATAGCACACTTAAATTCCAATCGTTGGGCATGCTTTCGTACCACCATATTTTACAAAAAAGCTGATGCATGCTCCTTATCAGTTCTTCGCCGCCGTGTTTGAATAGCTCACACGCAAATCTATGGGCCCCCGCCGCTTTGTTGTTCTTCAGGCGGGTAATTGTTATTCGAACTTCTTCATAGTCGGACAATAGTACGTCTGCTTGATCGTCATCGGTTGGGGAATCGGGATCGCCTTCTCCTGGCGTTGTACGTTCACTGAAATTCAGCAGCCTGGAGAAGTGTTCCCTCCATAATTTAAGTATGCTCTGGACATCGATACCTAGACCACCTTTTCATCTGACGAGTGCTCCCAGAGAGCAGGAGTGCAAACCGAGTACAAAATCGTTCGGCTGTCTGTTGTGATTGCAGCTTCTCGACGTCAAACCTTCCTTGTGTTTGTTGACGTGCGTTTTTTGCTGYACAGAGGCGGGTGCGAATCTTGGCTGCAACAAGATAGTGGTCCGAGTCGATGTTAGGACCTAGGAGCGTACGCACATCTAGAACACTTGAGACGTGTCTTCTGTCTACCACACTATGATCGATCTGGTAGGTGGGGTTGATCAGCCTTAACCCATTTGGCTATGTTACGTCGTGGATTCTGAATTTACCGACCGTAGTGCCAAAGATACCTTCTTTGCCCACCCTGGCGTTAAAGTCGCCAAGCACGATTTTGACATCGTGGCGGGGGCAGCTCT